TCGTTTGTATGCACCTGTCGCTTTGTTAGCACGCGTCATGGTGAGAATATCCTTAAGAAGCTTGTACAGGCATGTACCCACCTCACAACCCCCAAGAGTACAAATCAGAATGCACTATCCGCTATCCATGCAGATCAAAAGATGATACTTACTACACACATGGATGACAGAACCCAGTAAGATGTTTGAACGGGCTGTTTGCTTCACTCATGGTAGTCCGCGTTCCATGTTCGAGCGACAGGGAGCAGGCACAAGCGTTGCGACGGAGTCTTCGGTCGCTGACACATGTTCGCATGCAACCCCTAGATGTCAATCATGCACACCGCTGCTGGCTGCATCGTCAGCATTTATTCGTGGAAAAAGACAGATATATCAGATATATCTGTCTTTCCACGTCGTCCTTTCAGGCAGCACCTATTGTTCGAGACCAAATGTTGGGGCACGAAAGACTCTAAGGAAAGCTCACTCTTTCCCTGCTGCTGCTGCTTGGTAGCTGGTGGTGGTGCTGCTGCTGCTGCGGTTGCTGGGGTGGTTGTATGTTGCCATGTGTTGGCTGCTGCTGCTGCGGTTGCTGGGGTGGTTGTGTGTTGCCATGTGTTGGCTGTGTTGGGGTCGTATGTTGCGATTCCCGGCCAGGCTTTTGCTGCCTAAAGAGCCCCAGCGTTGTTTCTTTGCCTAGTTTTCGCCACCCCTCTCTGGGCGACAAGTGAGGGGAGGTTTGCTGCAACGGCTTACTCTTCAAAGGATGTACACCAGAGTGAGCGAAAGTCTCCTTGAAGAGAAACTGACCACAGTGGCAAAAGCAGAAAGGGGGTTGTTGGCTAACCGATGTTCAGGCGATGTCATCCTATGTCATGTGACTTTCTACGTGTGAGTTTGGAATATGCCTGCAGAATATGTAGAAGCTGAATCATTCACCCGTATACTCCAAGCCCCAACCTCAGCAAACAGGAGAGCAGTTTAATAAAAGGAGCTCAGAAGTTGCGTGGTATGGCCAGCGAAAGAATGGAGTTCTAAGGAGTTCTATATTGGTAATTTTATAGATATTATATATATATATATAGAGAGATGATATACTGTAGATGGTACCAGGGTGCAAGCATCCAGTAGCTCAGTGATTCCCTTCATTCTTTTGGTGTAATCCTGTACTTGCTCGTATCCGGCCTAACCAAGAGGACCGAAGCTGAGCCTGCCCCCAGTACAAGGACAAATATAGATTATATAGATGAACACCCAGGGGCTTGTAGCGGGGCATTGTAGGTGGGACAGTGTCGGACAGATTGCAACAGAACCTCCGAAGCGAATCAGGAGCTCTGGCACCATGGTTTCAGCCTTCGTGCCCCGGCGGCATCAAGAGGGTAAGTGAGTGCTGCCTGGCATTGAATGTGCAAGATGAGTTTTGCAGCTGGTACAGCTGGCGAATGGACAGTTATGGCTTATTGGGCCTATCACTGCCTATCACCATTCAACAAATTGTCGAGTGGCTGGAGGCTGATGAAGCCTGTTCAAGTGCTACCTTTTCAACGCCTAGTGCAGGGAGTTTAGTCTTCCAATATCTTCCAGTCTGCACCAGTTTCCTGTCAACCTTTTCACAGTGGGCCAGTGGGCCACCTGGAGAGCGTAGGACCCTGCCCTATCAATGGGCAAACCTAGACTGTTGATTAATAAGATTGCCCCATTGGATTGTAAAATGGCGCGTTCTTAATCAAGGGTCTACATAATGATTGTCTAGCGTCCCCAATTCCCAAGAGGCTTTTATTAGATCCTGGTTTGCTGACCGCGCCAGTGCAAGCCCAAATGCCTGGTTTCTTCATTCATTAACGGGGATCGCGTAGAACTCACATTGCTTTCCATTTAAAGTCTATATTCGTCTCAAAATATGCGGGAGCTTCATCGTGCTGCAAGGTGTAGGTAACTTGTGTGATCACAGACACATTCCCTTCACTTGCACAACTTCAGCCCAAGGGTTGTTTTCATAAAGATGGTTGTAATTGTTTGTACACTTGCCCAATGAAAAAGATTCACATGGACATTGAGACTGGACTAATGCGCACTTAGGATTAATGAACAACCCCATAGTCCCCCGCATATTAATTAGGCCCAGCTCGAGCCCCCAATACTAAACTTAACCTGAAATTCCACCTTGGCATCCCCCTAATAATTTTTGTCCTGTCCAGAACCCCCCCCATATTAATCAAGCCCAGCTGCCCCAGAAAAAGAATAATATAACATATAGTTTACTATTGTTATAATTGTTTATTATATATGTTCTTTTTAGCTAGTATTACCTTCTGGTCCTTGGTGAAACTGATCTTCTGATTCACCCTTGTCTCATGCCATCTCTTTGAGAGATAGCATTCTGATCCATCCTTTTCCCATGCTGATCCTCTCATCCATGAATCATTCTGATCATTTTGCTTGCTCTTCTCATCCTTCCCAGCAGCAATCTGTGCAGCCAATGTATACTCATATGGGATCTTCCTCCATCATCAGGTCATCACCTTTATTAGGGGGATGTGGTCCTCCAATACCTCCAATCTCAGACCTTGTTGACCGTGAAGGGGTTGATTAATCCGACGCCGACATTAGTGGAAAAGTCGATTGTTTCTCCTTCATGGAGCTTGTGTATATGATTCTATAATATTCTATAATATATGTGTGTGATTGTGTATTGATGTGTTGATATGTCCTGAGGTCGAGGTGATTCCACCACCCGGTTGGCTGGATGACTGGAGCTGCAAAGATATTTGGTTCATGATCACCGTGGTCAACAGTAAGAAAAAGGACACCAGAAAAACCAACAGGTGTGTCTCCGGATACGCACCGGAGGTGATTTCCAGATCGAACACGGCCGGCCCACGTGGCGAATTGTTTCGACAGCCACAGAGGCCACAGAGGCACGTCGCTGGAAAGTCGAACTAGCGGTTTCAAGGTTCTTCCGGTGGTTCTTCCGCTTCTTCCAGGAGAAAGAAGTTCAGAAGACGGAAACACACACCTTCACGCCTCGACACAACGATCGTGGATGGCATGAGCTCGTGCACGTGGACGAATTGTTTGCGGAATGCGGGTTCTTAGATGCAGCTTGGGCAGCTTAACCTTGCACACTCGGTTCGTCATTCCATTTGGCAGACTTGGTTAGATGTTTCTATAGACATACATGCAAGTAGACATACATATAATATACTTAGTGTTATTTTAAACATGGATCAACCATGTTGGGTGATTGATTTTTCACAAGACATACTTGGTGGCATACTTTGCTGTGAACAGCGCTTAGGAAGGAGATGATCTCCATTTTCGTGCAGAAGTCCGGGGTTTGCCTTGGAATGCTGGCCGAGCTGGATTTAATCAGATGGATTTCTCCCAAGACTCTCGGCCAGCATGGCCTCAACAGAAGACGAACTTGGTTCAAAACGGCCGGTAGAGGTTCTATTATCGAATTTGATTCTTGATATTTTTGGGGTTCTGGAGTTGATAGTACTCGCCAGCAGATTAGATTAGGGTTCATTTTTTTGGCATCATCGAGCCGTGTCGAGCCGTTTTGTCAGCAAGGAGCTGAAAGCATTGACCTTTCGACTATCAGAAGACCCTCCGTTGTTTTTTGACCAACGACTTCTCATTCAGCGCTCAGAGTTCTTTCAGAAGATGCTAACGTCCTCCACGTGGCAGGAAGCCAAATCAGGAGCCTCCGCTGCATTTCAGTATGTTCAGCCATCCTCGCATTCGCAGGTCTTTCGCAGCAAAGGCCTGCAGCTTGAACAATTGACCTTCGCTTATTCCCAGGCCTGTCCTCCCTATCCACCAGCTCCGTACCACTTCCGCTCACTGCTTTTGCCGAGCCCAGGAGAGATCGACCTCCGAGGAGACCGAGATGCCACACATGCCAGCGTCACGGCCGTGTTGCAGTTCCTCCTCACGGATCACTTCGATGCAGCAGGGGACGCTGGGCGATCTCACAACTGCTTCGTTCGATGATGTTCGATGTTTTTGGGGGGTTCATGGAGGCCATATGGGGCCATCATAGTGGAGCCATCACAGTGTTTTCAAGCTCAAAGGGCAACTCGAGGAATCTTGAGGGTTGCAAAGTGCATCATCTCGCTCGAGCCGGTCGCTGAGGATTTGCAGTTGGCCTTGTCTGTGCGTTCCCTGGCGGACCGCTTTTGCATCGCGGAGCTGGGTCAAAGTGCAGATATGGCCCTGAAGTACATGCTCACCGAGGAGGGGCCCCCGGCCTGTTGTTTGCAATAGCCTGTTGTCCTGTTGTCTTTTGCACCCTCCGGCCTGAGGATTTGTGGTTGGCAAATCACTAGTTGTGTGTCAATGGAGAACTGCAAGCTATACTGCGGTTCCTCAAGAAAGAAAATCCAGTGGAAACTACAGCACAAAGGAGAGGAATAATATTAAGCAAGATGTGATAGAGTAAACTATACACCAGTCACAAGTGCAACCACGCAGGGGATTAAGGCCAACTCTAGCTCAAGAAGTCCAACATCCGCAGACTTTTTGAAGTCGGTGCCCTCCTCCAGGAGAATGTCCTCACTTTGCTCAGTCAACTCTTAGATTCCGGCAGCGAAGCACCTTGGAAGCACCTTCCGAGTGCCCGAATGGAATGTCAAACTGCACACCATCCATGAAGGGATACCTATCAAAAAGAAAATTAATTCCTATCAAAAAGAAAATTCCTATCAAACAAAACATTAATTCGTATCAAAATTAAAATTCACCCTACTCCTTTGGTCCTGGTCTGCTGGTTCCCTGGTCGCTTGGTCCTTTGGTCCCTTTGTCCTGGTCCCTTGGTCCCCGGGTCCCTTGGTCCCTCTGGTCCCTTGGTCCTCTGGTCCCTTGGTCCCTCTGGTCCCTTGGTCCTTTGGTCCCTTGGTCCTCTGGTCCCTTGGTCCTCTGCTCCTTTGGTCCTTCGTCCTGGTCTTCGGGTCCTTGGGTCTGCACTTTCGAGGCAAGACGCGTTAAAGGTGATTTGGAAATCTGGTCATACATCCTCTGAAGCACCGTTGCAGACCTTTTATCGCCAGACCTAGCACACCTTTTTTGTGAGCCACCCTGACGGTAAAATTTAGACGAAGAAAAAGTGCCATTCCAAGGTAGCAAACCTTTTGTGAGCCACCTGAGGGCAAAATTTTGAAGAGGAAGGAGCCGTTCCAACGTTGCAGACCTTTTGTTAGCCTTAGAGGAAGAAGTTGCCATTCCAACGTAGCAGGCCTTTGTTTTGTGAGCAACCCGAGGGTAGAACTTGCTATTCCAACGTAGCAGACCTTTTGTGAGCCACCCGGGGATAAACTTTAGGTGCCACGCCAAGGTAGCAGACCTTTTGTGAGCAAAATTTAGAGGAGCAGTAGACCTTTTGTGAGCCATGCGAGGGCAAAATTTACAGGAGCAGACCTGTTGTCAGCATAAACTTTAGAGGAGGAAGGTGCCATTCCTACATAGCAGACCTTTTGTGAGCCATCCACAGGTCTTGTGGTTTTGTGAGCTTGTGAAATTCAGAGAGATCACGGTTGAGATGCAGAGAGGTCACATCTACAAAGATCCAGAGGCCTGAGATCCAGACGGATCTGCAGGTGTAGAGGTCTAGAAACCCACAGACCTAAAGATGGAGGTTTAGAGGTCTTGAGTCTTGAGTTCAGGGAGGTGTTGAAATCTAAGTTCTATACTTGCAGAGGGTGTAGAAAGATGTTCAGATCCCGAGATATCAAGAGCTCTTTTGACAGGTCTTCAGATCCACAGAATTTTACAAACGCCACGCAAACTGCACTACAAGGTTCGCAATCGCTGCGCTTGCCACGAAGTCTGCGCTTATAGACGGAGGTTCACGCAATCTGCACTTCAAGGTTCACGAAGTGCTGCGCCTGCCATGAAATCTGCAGTTCCAGTGCGCAAAGTGCTGCGCCTGCCACGAGCCCTGCAACTGAAGGTGCTCAAAGTGCTGCGTACAAAGTGCCGCTCCTGCCACGAAACCTGCTACATGGAGGTGCTCAAAGTGCTGTGCCTGCCACGAAATCTGCACTTCCAATGCACAAAGTGCCGCTCCTGCCACGAAACCTGCTACCTGCTACTGGAGGTGTTCAAAGTGCTGCGCCTGCCACGAAATCTGCAGTTCAAGTGCACAAAGTGCCGCTCCTGCCACGAAATCTGCAGCTCCAGTGCACAAAGTGCCACGAAATCTGCCACTGGAGATGCTCAAAGTGCTGCGCCCGCCACGAAATTTGCACATCCAGATTCACATCGCGCAGCGCTGCCAAGGCGGTTTGCAGTGGCAGGCGCAGCTCTTTGTGAGAGATATTTTGTTTTTGATACAAACTAATCTATTTTTGTATAGGATATAGAAATTTTCTTTTTGATATATATTAGTTTTTTTGATAGCCCGGCCATGAACCACAGTTGTTAATCATGGATCTCTCGAGTTGAACCCTGTTGAAGACTACTACGCCCCTGCGCCGCTTACTGTCCGGAGTTGATCATCACCGATCTTTTGAGGCCGAAGAGGCCTGCTGGCAGATGCTGGAAAACAACAAGGGCTTGCTGTTGAGACAAGAATTGGCCCTAGATGAGCTTGTGGTTCAACACCCCAAGCTGGCCAAGCGATTGATCCTGCTGGGGCAGAAATCGCCCCGGTGCGGGAAGTTTCGGTGGTAGAGATGGCCGAAGCGGAGTCTTTTGCGCCAGTGCAGATTTGGTTTATATAGACTCCCATGTCCGTGGCCTGCTTTGGCATTGCATGACTTGAGAAGAGGATGTGTCCATGCTTTCCGGGTGGCCCTCCCTTTTTGGACCTGACACCATCAGTGAACCAGAAATTCAACTGAAGATTTGTGCATTCATGAGCCCAAACCTGGGCTACAAAAGATTTTGTCAAGACCTGGGACCTGGGGCGTAGTTATGCGCTTTTAGCCTTTGGTGATCGTTTTTGCGTGCCTTTTCCTGGGGGATGCAGGCCGGTCGACGACTCATGTGTTACTTTCGGCTTCGAGCCGCCGAAAATGTGGGCGCAGGCGGGCCATGGACTTGTGAGGCATCCCTCATCATCCCTCACCAAAGGCCGCTGCAACATGAGGTCTACGGACTTTTCATGACCAACAAAAAATACCAACAGGATCCACATGACAAGGACTCTTCGAAGCCTTCTTGTTTTTCTGGGCGTGTAATGTGCATGTGCTCTTGATCGGACCGCCTAGGTCGATCATGTACAGATGGCCCAACCCCGAAGGCCCGACTTCTCCCTGGCTCAAAGCAGCCCGGCCCGAGAGGGGAGATCAAAAGAGATCAAGATTCTGCTGAACATGTTGTGATCTGGAAGGTGTCAGAAGTTTAGATGTTTTCACAGGGTTGCCACGAAAGGAAACGCATGTTCGCCTTTGGTGTAAGAGAAGGGTCTAAGACCTGTGGATCCCAGAAAACTTAAAACTCAAGTTGCGTAATTATCAGGGTTTGTCCGTTTATCCTGAGCAGATGTCAATTGATGAAGCTTCGTCCCGAGCTGGCTCCCCTCACAGCACGGCCTGAAGCCACACGGTTCGTCTGCGATGGAGGGCTGCGCCAATGTGATACCAGTGTGGGGGAGAGATGTCAGATAAGGGTGTAACATGGTGCAACCATCAAACACCGTGCAAACGCCTGTATATAGGTGCTACATACACAGCAACCTCCCCATAAAGCTGCACGAAGAGATTTGAAGCGCAAACAAAAGACGGTAGGGAAACAGATCCGCACGCAAATGTGAGTTCCCACATGTTCTGGTGGTGTTCATCCAATGTTCGGTGACCCACGGAGATGATCAGGCGACCCACGGAGAAGAACACTGAGCTGCTGCTGGAGAGACTTTCCACTGGCCAACGGGCTTTGCGGAAGATCCGCTGGTGCCTCGACCGATTGCGATCAGGTCTCCATGCATGCTATTCTGCAGGACAGGCCAGACTGTCCATCCAGAACATGGGAATTTTCCGAGAGGAAGAAGAAGAGGAAGATAATAGAGTTTCTCCTTTGTATAACAATATATCTAAGACATATACCTACATAATATATAATTACACACATATATATATACACACATACATAATTACATATGTATATATATATATACATAGAGAGAGAGAGAGGGAGAGAGATGACCCTGCCATACCACACCATGACCTCCAAAACCCTCGCCGAGGCAAATCAGCGGCTCCATGGCCATTCTTGGGCTGGCTTTTGCCGCTGCCAGTAGTGTTTGGACCCTTGGCAGGGAAGGGAACAGTGTTTTGGTGGTTCAACTTCTGCGGCGTTAAGACAAGCGCAGCATCACATCACGGCAAAAGAAATACGGGTGTTTGATGCGCTGTGACACTGCCAGTAGCAGCGGCTTACTTGGTGAGGCACTCAATACACAAGAAGAGGCAACGCAACACCCACTTGACAATTGCATTCTTGTCAAGGCCTTGCCAGTCACACGATGAGCAACCTGGGCTTAGGGTACGAACCACCCTTAAACCTGTATCAAGCAATTATATAAGTATATTAAATTACAGTGAACTAAGTAGCAAGTCGTACCTTAGGTTAAGGCTATTTCCCCCAAACCCACAAGTTTAAGAGTATCCCTGAGAGTCCTCGATCCGTTTGTTTAAATGATGGTTCACGAACCGACATGTTTGTTGATGACCAATGGACTTTTCCACCCTCTTCCTGCCGACCCAGAATGGAGTTGTTGAGCTCAGGATCTATCGAAATCAAGATATCCCATGCATTGCGCCAGCGCATGCAGCATGCACGGAAATCCCAAACAAAAACAGTATGTACAATCTTTTATTTGTCTATATACTTTTTGTACACGCATAGATTCCTGTGGCCTTTGTGCAATGGAGTTTGCCTTGGCCTTGAAACAACACCACATCAAGTTTGCAACCTCAACACCTGACTCAAATTGTTTGAACAAGGCTCACCAGTTGGCAAAAGCACGGAAAAAGCCGGAAAGCACATCAATTAGATGATTTTAGATGGTTCACGGTTATCTTCTTTTGCCCGCATCTTTTTTTTCTGGTCTTGGAGATGTGCTCACCGGGGTTGAAGGCCTGGCCGGTCCGCCGTTACGGGCCCCGGCCCGCGGGCCGGGGTGCGATCAGGATCACCGTGAGGCTTGCGCAAGGTGGTGAAGTCGATCACCTGGATTTGACCATCAGTTGGACCATCTCGGTCACGGGCATCGCCCCTCGGAGACGAGTCACGCCCCATCGGGGCCGACATGGGCAGATGAGTGCCGGTCAGAATGTGAGACGAGCTTCGGGCTGAAAATGAGAGTTGTGAACTGGTGGTCAGTGTGGTCAGTGGTTTTGCCATGGTCAGCTGCAAGTTTCATCCAGCCACATCCAGCCCCTTGGAACGGTCGTCTCGCGCTGCCGATCCCGAACGCACGCACCAAGGTTTTGTTGGTCTCAGCACCTTTGCCAGATGACGTTCCTTGCATCGGTCAAGAACCTTTCGTGGCTTTTGACATCATGTGGCTACCACCTTGCTCACGCAAAGACCAGTTTGTGGGGTCCCATGCTGTGAATGTTGAAATGTTGCTAAGAACAATCAACAGAGTTTGCGGCGAAAGATTGTGGCCAGGGGTGCGCAACATTTGCGAGGGCAACCTTTTGACAGTCAGTGGAAACTGAGGCCATCTTAAAATCCTTCACTGTCCTCCTCGAAACCCCACACTTTCAGTGATTCACAGTAGTGCAACCTTTGAGGAACAAGACATACTTCCACAACAACAGCGCCTGGCACGCTTTAGCTAACATTGTTACTATGCAATGTCCGGCCAATGTGGCCATACTTTAAGGCAGATGTTATACCATGCTTCTACTTCTTCAGCCAATGAAGCCAAAAAAAAGCACACACATGCACACGTAATACACGCACATGTCAGGCAGTGCGGCAGAGTGCTTTACACTTTGACGTACAGAACCCCATTTCTGCCACCAACATGCGCCCTAGGTTGGAGGCCATCGCTCTTAGGTTGGAGGCCATCGCTCTCGTAGGTTAGGAGTGCCCAGAAGACTGGTTTGGAGCGTTTTCCTCGTTCTCGCGCCCAAGAGGCCACCTTAACACGTCTTGCCAGCTTGGGTGTGGCAACTCTTTGTGGCTTCTTCACCAGCTATGCTTCTTGGCCAGACACGCACAGCAAACATTTGCCGGGGCGGTTGCTTTGCCGCAGCTTTTGCCAGGTGGGTTGCAAGTTGTGAAGGTGCTGGCTTTGAGTGTTTTTGTTGGTTGGTGTTTGGATCCAAGTTCACGGATTGTGCATAGGGTGGGTTGTCCACATAAGGGCTGCAAACTGCGCCTGGCGCTTTTCCTGAACGCGCGTTTCCGGCCGTTCCTTCAGGAAGCCGTCGATGCGGTGAAGCATTTGAAAATGTTCGCAGAAGCCCAATGTTGCATCTTGGCAGTTGGTGTTTTTCTATTTTCTGTGCAGCCCTCATGGGGAAGAGGCTGGGAGGTTGAAAATTGAGACGAGGATGTGCTGAATGAGACATTGTGAACATCACTCACTCGCCAGAATCATCCAAAGCGTTTGCAAGCCATAAGCACCTTTGAAGACCGCATGCTAGGAAAGGGAAGTGCACCAAGCAACAAATCTGAGTGGTTGCAGGTCGTGAACAGATGCCCCACCCCACGAAACATTGGAATAAGCACGAAGGAAAGGACATTTGAGCGACACGTCAAATGTCATTGAATTTTGTGCAGGGATCGGCATAGAAGGACAATGATGGACATCCCGCAATAGGCTGCGTCAGAACTGCCAAGGGACCTATGCCCAGAAACCCAGTCAGCTCTGAGGGCAGAGGCCGAACGTCATCACCTTCGAAGATCGTCGCATGTCACTTCTGCGGCACTATGCGCAGTCCGTATGGACCATACGGCGTAGTCCGCCATTCATGTCATGTGTGTGTGATTTTCTAGCTTTGTTCTCCTAGGTCCTAGATGTTTGTAAGTTGGGAAGGCCTGTGGAAGCTACCTACAAGTCCGCTTGGACGGCACCCTGCTTTGTTGAGCCATGGCATGCCATGGCGATTCGATTAAAGTCAAAGTTATATGTTTTTTCATTGGAGAGAGGCTGTGTTCAAGATTTAAACTAAAAGTCAAAAAGTCAACATAGAAGTAGCCGGTGCCAAAAGTCAAAGCCACAAAAACATCAAATCATAAATGTTCAGGTTTAAACAAAGTCAATTGGTCCAAATCCGACATGTTTTTACTTTTTGTTTGACATTGCGTGTTCTTGTTCCGACTTGCTGTTGACTTGTTCGATGTGATTACTAATTTTGATTTGTTTGACTTTTTCAAGTTGTTTTTTTTCTAAATTGACTTATTGGAACGTCTTGTTTCGACTTGTTTTTGTTTATATATTTGTTTTTTTGACCTTTTTTGACTTGTACCTTTGTTTTGACTGTTTTCGTTTTAAAAAAAACAGTTTTGTGTCTGGTTTCTTTGATTGTTTTGAATTTGTTGGACTTTTTCGAGTTGTTTTCAAGATTTGACTTTTTTGTTGGACTTTGAATTGGACTTTTCTGTGACTTTTATTTGACTTTTGTTTTAAAACGGGCTGTCCTAGCCTTACCATATGACAGATTCTTATAAGATTAAAGGGCTCCTATGATGCAATTCAATAGAGGGCCCCCATAGTGTCCCCCCGTGCTTTTGGGGTCCTTGCGACTTCCTGGATTCCTCAACAATCACCGACTGGATGTCAACCCTTTCATCGTGCGACGCGGTGATGGTGTGGAATAAAGCATTGGCATTTGCAAAGAGAAGACGAGCTGGTTCCAGCATTGACAGATCGAATGAAACCAGATCTGATATTTGACCATCCTGTCCTCTTCGGGCTGGCCGTTCGGGAGCGGTTCACTAGAAAAGATGAAAACCACTTTTCTCCGATGTCTTCACTGGATAAGCCCCTAGTAAGGCCAGGAGCCCCTAGTAGCTTCTTGCTACTAGTAGCGATGCCCTTGTTGTTTGAGGTCTCAAGGAATTTGTATTTGGTATTTATGTCTTTGTGCCGGGCGCTCAGAATGTGAACGGAAGCTTGGGCTTTGGAAAGAGAGTTGGCCAGAATCAAATCTTTGCAGTACGTCCTTTGACTTGTGATACCCGTGCTTTCTTGGTTTGACTTACTGGTCCATTTTCAACCTCTTTGTTGCTTGAATGTGTGTCTCATCTCCTCCTTCACAGCGCTTCCTGGACCGTGCCGCACCGTCAGGTGTGGAACGTTTCTTGGAATGTCTTGAACATGGGGTTGCGCCTCGGCTCTTCAAAACTCATGTCGATCCCAAAGTTATTAACTACCAGCTGCGATAGCTTTGGCTGGAGTCACTTGTTTGCTTTCGCAGATTTTCTCAGGGCAGGTGGCACAAAGCCCCGAGCTCAACTCTACCCTAGGTCTGTTGGGCCATTGGGCCAAGGGGCCCGATGGGTTTCCACGTCGGTCGACCGTGTCTCCGGCTCGGTTCGGGTCTTGGTCTGGATGCTTCGAGCCTTGGGCGCTTTGCCCACTGTCCGCTAGCTTGGTTCACTGTTCCCCCTGCCCAGTGTCTGGCCACAAGTTCACCCTGGAGTTGCAACGTTTGTTCCATCTTACTGCCACCCCGCCATCCCCGGCACACTTCATGCAGCGCTGTCAGCTGTGTCCAAAGCCAGCTGAGGTTCCTTTCAACTGCATTCCAACGGAGCGCTTACACAATGCAAGACCGCCCCTTCTAAGGAAACTATGTCGGGCTGCCGGGATTTGGGCCATGTGGAAAGCACCACGGTGCCTGATGTGTAATGATGCCAACCTAGAACATTGTACTAAATCACAAATCGCCACGCAGAGAATGGACCTAAAAACAGGGCTGAGCCAAGATGGTATTGGGTTTTGCATGCATTGTTTCGTATAGTTTCCGTGAGCAGTCCCAATGACCTTCCTGAACATTAAATTGTTGTTATTATATTATATTATATTATTATGTATATAAATGTTATCTTAGGGTCCATCACGATTGTGAGCCTCCGGGGGCCAGGGGGCCAATGCCTCCTTCCTTGACGGTGATTCTCATGCCTCGTGCCCCAAGCCGTGGAAGTTGCAATAAGCATGGAAGAGAGTTTCATGTCCTTTCATTGACCACATCCTCTTCAGGAGCACACCGAGTTCTGAGAAACTACCCCCCCTAAGAGTTGGCCAGGCTTGGACACAGAGTGGGAGAGAGTTTTGTCAGAGTTCGGATCTCAGGAATGTGGAGATTTTTGACTCTTTTCTTTCAAGTCAATGTTTTTGCCCCTTGGCTGCAGAGAAGGGGAAGTTCGATAAAGTGAGTGGACTGGGTGTTGCACTGGGTTGCAGTCGAGTATGGTCCATGACTACTTGGAGGTAGCAGTCATTGGTCCGATACATGGATAGAAGTCGACCAGGTTGGAAGATGCTAAGTGTGTCAGAGCAAGTGCTGAGGTCAGGTTTGTATTGAATCGAATCTATCATTTGGTTTGGCTCCCAGCTCTTTCTTGCTCAAGAAATCCAGAACAAGGCGTATACGGCTGGTACAGCCACCCATGAGCTTGGGCACAAAAACCTTGGTTGACCACTAATCTCCCCAAAGCAACCAGGCACACCCTGCAAACGGATCCAGGGACGAACTTTTGGTCGATGTTGTTTCGTCCTGGATATGGCTTTCAAGATCTCAAAGAAGCTACTTTACAGTGTAGGTATTTGATCACTATGATGCATGCTTGAAGGGAAGCGACCCCTTTTCGATTGACATCCTAGGTGGATGTTGTGCAGATTCTCTTCGATACTGTGGCTCTTCACCGTCTCAACACTGGATGCTTTTTCCTTATAGGAGATTTGACAGGCCTGTGCTTTGGAAGGCACTGGTCACATGTGAAAGGCAAGAGGAGAGAGAGAGAGAGAGAGAGAGAGAGGGAGAGAGAGAAAGAGAGAAAGAGAGAGAGAGAGAGAGAGGGACCCATGGCTGCTTTGCAAGTGTACCTCATGGAGATGGGCTGGGATGCGTCAGTGCTTGATGACTGGATACGCCCGGCTAAGGGCTTGTTGCCTGCAAATCAGATGAGCCTTGATTTTCCTTGGCTGTACTTGCAGCGCAAACTTCAGCAGGAGCAACAGCAACAGCGGGCAAGACGGATTCAAGAGTTGGAACACTGCTTTCCCCTCATGAAGCGGCCGGATTGGACAGTGTACCACCGTGTCATCAAGAAGCTCAAAGGTTCGGAAAGGGCAGCCCTGGATGCCTGGACGCAAGGCTCCCTGCGCACTCATGATGCTGGTGTCAGAGTGATGTGCCCAATTTGTCAGGTGCCTGTCAGTATGAAACATTTGGTGTGGCAATGCAAGTATCATGAGCACGACCTCCCGGCAGCATGGCAAGCCAGCATCAATGCCAATGAGGAGCAAATGCTATGGGCACGGGGCCTCATCGAAGAGCCCCACTTTGTGGCAGCTGAAGGAGTGGATTCGTGTGAAGTTGCTGGCATTTTGGCAACGGGGTGGCCGGTCCGGCTCACTCCCTCCCACAGAGTGGCCATTGCAGTTCAAGCCACTTGCCAGGATAAACGCATCAAACAGTTTGTGGTGGCGATCACTGTTGGCACCTGGCAAGAGGGGTCCTGGCAGATAGCTGGCACATGCACAGCGATTACCCCTGGTCAGGCCACGGAGGCAAGGGGTTGGGTGTTTGCCTGCTGGCTTCTGCTCCAAGCTGTTCTTGGTCGGCATCAGCTGAACATTCCCAATCGTGCTGGTTGGACGGCCCTTCAGAAAGGAGAAGGAAGCAAAGTTGGCCCTGATCTGTGGTACAACCTGCCCGCTGAGGAGTGGAAGAGGTTGCAACTCCTGCATGTGCCGCAGAAGATGTTGAAGGAGGAGGGCAAAGCTTCGAGGGGATGGGTTCAGCTCAGTGAGGCAAAGCATGTGGCTATGCAAAGGGCATTGAAGGTGGCACCTACTGTGCTAGAAGCTGAGTTGAAAGAAGCTGACCAGAAGCATCAAGCAATATATGAGGTAGCGGCCCGACGAATCAGCACCATCCTGGCGGACAAGGACCACTACATGCATGGTGAGTTGGAGAAGGTGGAGCATGAAGTCAAAGTGCCGCAGCCCAAACCAAAAATCGGCAGAGTTGCACTCTTCAGCCAACTGGTGCAACAAACCACCAGTGATGGCCAACACAAGTGGCAACATCATCGCCAGGGTGTGGTATGTGAACGTTGTGGCAAACGGATCAAGGCTTGCAGCACCTTTGAGGAAATCAACCGGAAGCAAGCCACGGTGTGTCCTGGTGCAGTGACTAAGACTCTCAGACAAGTCATGGGCGAGCTGATCCAGGACACGGAAGGGAGGTTAGAAGAGCAGCCCGGCCACAAATGGGAGATGACGGCCACAACATTTGGTTGTGTCAAGTGCTGGCACAAGATTCCCCTGAGATGCAGCAAGGCGGTCCTTGATCAGGTGGCGGCCACAGAATGCAGATATGGGAAGGTGGATGAGCAAGGCCTGCAACTCCGAACTCGGCTGCACCCCTCGCATGAAGTCTGGCGGAGAGGAGCATGGCTTGAATGCCGCAAATGCAAACGCCACAGCAGGGAGCAAGACGGTAGAGTTCAGCAGTGGCTGGCCAGGGCTTGCGCCATCAGCAAAGGCCAGACCAAGCTCAAGTTCGGACCGAGTTCGAGCAGCTGATGTCCCTAGAAGGGACTTGAAGAGGGTTGCAAGGCGAATGAGCCTTGGCCCTGCCGCTTTTGCCTTGTGGCGCGGCCTCGTGAGTGCTGAGGAAAAGACCCGAGAAAAAAAAAAGAGAGAGAGAGAGAGCGAGAGAGCGAGAGGCACCGAGGGAGGGAGGGAGGGAGGGCGGGCGGAGGACAGCGTGAGACACGTGCGAATTGTTGCACCAGAGGTGAGGGTACTGTTGTCATAAAGTTTGAATCGGGTGTGCTTTATACACAGAGAGAGAGAGAGACAGAGAGAGCGAGAGCGAGTAATGGCCCTTTCCCCTAATTAGTTTGGTTCCAAAGTCATGCAAAGCATCAGAGTCAAGTCTTACCAGATGGAGATGTCCAGTTCCAAGCTAGGAAACATGGGACTACTTATACATGATACCCGTCCGGTAATCCATACTAAAATCAAGGACCCCAACCCACCTAAATAATACAAAATGTTTTCCGAAAAATGGGTACGTCCAGGACTTCATAACAGCCATGAGGGTTTATCTGGAATTTCCAAAAAATGCTTGGTCCAGGACTTCAGTAAAGCTAGATAAATCATGATGTGACTGACTTGAAAGACTACATGTGAGGTCAGACGCAGGATTCTATAAAAGGATGTTGTCTTTTAACTTGGAGGTCTCTGAGGGTCAAGCTCTGGATTATATTATGTTTTGTGTTTCGCTGTCGTTCCGAAGACTCCGCGGTCGTTCCTTGTTGAGCTGCAGCATGCCACAGACACCGGAGTGTTTCAATTCAACAAAATCTATTTATAAATGACTAATACGCCACACAAACGAGTGTTTCAATTCACCAAAATCTATTTATAGATTACTTGAGACGCCACACAAACTCTGCAAGTCTATTCCCTTAATGGAAGTACACCAGGCATAACCGATTAGCGCATAAAAACTCGACAATATCCTCAGTACACACGATCGAAAGATCCTGCAAAGAAAAAAAGGTACAGCTCTTTTTGCGCATAAATTCATGAGCCAGGGTCAATGACAGCATTTCAGTATGAATCATAATTTTGTCTTATTCACATGTCCCGACCTCCGTCTCAGGACTTTAGAAAGAGGTTGGTCCTAGGAATTTATTAGGCCAAAAAAACAATCAGTCTTTTTGCATCGCACCTTGGGCCACTAAAAAATAAGGAAATTACCTCAGTCCCGAAGGATTTTATAAAATAAAGTCCTGGGTTAGACCTTTGGGCATTATTCAACGGGTATTACATGTCAGTTCGCATTTGGCAGTGAAATGTGTTTATCTACTGTATGCCTCCTCATGGATTGACCCGCATTGGCCCACAGAAAAAGCTTCAAGGTAAGGCAGGTGTGTTTTGCCAGGTGGTCAGTAGAGGTTTGCTCAAACCCGCTGTGTTTCAGCTTCTCACGGTCACCAGACCTGGTTGTTCAGGATCATCTCAGGCCAATCGTTCCTCAAAACGCTGTGGCCAACACACCACCCTACCACATGATCAACTCCAAAGGAGCTAAAGGAAAAGACCTCTAAACCGCCTGCTTTTCTTAAAGGATTGCCCGGCGCGTGTTGCATGTGCAACACCCATTGCCCAGCTCGTTGTTGGCAACTCCGCCCAGAAAAAAAACAGACCCGACACCAGACCCTAAACCCACACTCCACACTTGACGACCCCACGCTCAGTTCGGTTCGGTGCCCCGCCCACCGCTCAGCGCCGAGGTGCCTCACCTGCTATGGCGGCGTCCCGAAGCGCTTGCACGAGCTGCTGCGGCGCTACTTCGAGGCCACCGAGCGGACGGCTGCGGCCGCGGGCATCGCAGCTCGGAGCGGTGAGGGGCGAGGGGCCGTGTGCCGGAGAGGAGACTCAGATGATTCGGACAGTGAAGTGGCAGATGTATTCTATTTCCAGGGTGGCATTGACTTGGTTGCATCCATTTGTTGGTAGAGACTGTTGTTTTTGGTTTTCGGCCTACATCCGTTGCTTTCCCTCAAGAGGGGTGAGGTTTCGAGGAATGATGAGTAGGAACGGGCAGGAGTTTGCTTGCTCTTGTTGACCTGGAAAAGCTGCCAGTGAGAGTTCAAGCATATACGGAGCTGGGGTAGTTTGTGTTCCATCCTTGTCTTCTGTTGGGGCAGCTACCGAGCAGCTTTATGTCGAACTTTTGCACATTTACTTTCATACCTTGGAAAGCTCACAATGGATGGTTTTTGCAATGGTCAGATCGAACAGTTTGGGCTCCCTCCCTCCCTCCCTCCCTCCCTCCTTTCCTCCTCTCACTAAATCAAAAAGCACAAGGTTTTTACAGATTGTTTGGTCCAATGCTAGCTGCTAGCAGCACTGATACAAATCCTGTCCACGGTTCATCCTCCCGTGGATGCCCGCGTGTTTGCTCTTTTTTGCACCCATGGCCATGCGGATTCAACACGACTTTGAGGCCAGCCTGGTGGGAAATTGTGCTGTGCAGGAAGCGTTGGACCAAGCAGCTTGGCTCAGGCAGACCTGCCAGCCCAGATGCCGGTGCCTGGAGAAGCTAAGGGCGAGGAGTTTTACCGGTTTACTAAGGCCAAGGGGTCTTGGGCATTCAACTAACTAGTGGTCCACCTGGTGCTGTAGGATGCTGTAGGTGTAAAAGTGGTGGCTCAGCCGAGGCTCGATATAAATGAAGCCGATTCTATTGAGATCACGGCCTCACTCGAAGAAGCCATCGTGTGGCACTTGCTTTGGTATACGATTGCAAGGTCTTTAATCATGCGGGGGTGAACTCTCTAAGATATGAGGTCTTTTTCCAATCAATATCATGGCAATGTCCTAGATGAAATGGGGACCCGCAATGTTTGATAATGTTTGCTGACGAACAAAAACAGAATGACAAACCGCATCAAACTGCCATGGAACCATTCATTTACTAACTAGAAAAGGTTGGCAGGTCTTACATGAGAGTACAAGGTTTTGCTGACAGTACTTGACGAGCGTGCCCTCATCATTTTACCAGCTTTCCTTGAGATTAAGATAGATTAAGATAGGTCAGGTAGACTCAAATTAGGTTTTGAGTATTATATATATATATATGCTAGCCCTCCCCAAAACCCACCTGCCACCTGCTCTTAAATTATCTCGACTACCAGAGTAGCAAAGTACCAAAACTGCAGACCCCATGACCTGGGGAACCAAAGTACCAAAGTACCAAAACTGCAGACCCCATGACCTGGGGAACCAAAGTTTCAAAGTACCAAAACTGCACAGACCTATGCCCCCAGAGTGCCTATGATCAGGGCATGGGGTTTGCAGTTTTGGAACTTTGGTGCTTTTTAGAGGGGGGACCAAAGTTCCAAAGTTCAAAACCGTGTTTGTTTTTGGTTGTAGCCAGCCTTCTTTAACCATAAACCGTGAAAAGATCAAAAAGCACACGGGTTTTTCGTTTTTGTTGTTCAACACCAAAAAACAACGCAAAAAACATCTTTTGAGGCTGAGCCAAGCATTATCTTCAATGCTTCTGTTGGCTGTTTTGGTTTGTTGTTTTGTTGCTGGTTGTCATTGGGGATATATTTTTTATTTGCCGTAGTTTATTTGTGTTTATTCTTTAATTGTAAGTGCATTGTTTTGTTTATTAGATTTTATATATCCAAACATATGCAAAACACACTGTAAATACTAGTAAAATTGATGAAAGAGGGTTTTTTAGGGGGGTACCATCCATATATATAGATATACATAATATAGTGAGGTGGTTGAATTTAGTACCTTTAGGGTCTCCCAGCGTGTTGGTTCCACCGTTTTATGTCTCTCGAAAGGGCTAATGGACCCCCCTACCCAACCTACCCAAATTGCCAAGGGGATCTTATCCATAGGATTCGGTGCACGGACCTCGTGTTTGCACGTTGACAAAACCTGGCAGCTTGGCAGTTGCCACCATCATGAGTTGACCAGAATACCAAGAACACGCAAGACATTCACAAGTGAAGCATTTGTCCACAGTGCTGGTCACAGGGGCCTTGATATCGGCCATCCACACAGAATCATACAGAGCTTCAGCGCCCCACCGACCAGTGTGGATCCGACCTTCACCGACCAGTGTGGCGACCGCGTGGTCACCGCTGAGGCGACCTCAAGGTTTCGAGTGATCAACGTCGACAAGATCCAACTCTCCGATTTGGGTGATGGCCTCAGATCGACTGGAAGAGGGAAGGGGTAGGAAGAGAGGAGGGGCTCAAAGGCCAGGGGATAGGGCCAGGTGATTCGGGTGAAGCATCAATCTGGGTCGATCGTTGCCACGGCAAACTGTGTAGATGTTGAAAACCGAGACCCGCCCTTGGTAGCTTCTAGCTGATGGCATACCCGCATATACCCGCTTAAAGCATTTTGAAGCAGAAGTTTAGCATAGTTTAGCCCATCCTTTGTCCTTTGGAGCGTCAACCCTTTGTAGCTAAGCTGCATCCTGTAGTTGTTTTTTTGGGTGTAGTAGGTCCAGCACAACACAATGCATTCCTCAGAGCATCCTTGTGGGACAGATCGTGATTGCCAGACTTTAGTCAGAGACAGGGAGAGAGAGAGAGAGTGTGTGTGTGTCCCAGGGGTGGGACTCATCCTGACCTCAAAAAGATTGAATGTAATTAATCATTGAAAGCCCTTTCCCGTTACACGATGTGCGATGTGTGCTTCTGAAGTGTCAAGACTTCCCGTGGAGATGGCCACATGCGATGCATCGTGGAACGTTTGCCTGCAGCCATTAGCAGGCAGCAACCAGCCATCAGCCGAACTCTTCGAGCGATCTGTCCCTGCTAGTGCCCTGGCAATTGGATCGGTTGACTGCGCTCAAACGGCTCAAACGGTGTTTTAATACGTGCACACTTACGGGAATGAGAGAAAGATGATGATATTTATCCTTCGTGGGGCCAGGTGTCCACAACTCTGCAGCAAGGGCTAGGGCGGGAGTCTTTTTCAGGCTTCAAAGGCTCCTGAATCATGAGTGTTTTATCTCCCCGTGCTGAGGAGCAGCAACTTTTGCAATGGAATCTTCAGCCCACCATATCCTGCAAGTTGCCACTTAGGAAAGTTTTTTTCTTGCACCAGACGTAATATTTTCCAGGAGAAGGACATTCAGATAGATTCAATTGAAGTTAGACAATTCTGGCAAATTCACCTTCATGAAGCCAGTGCGTGTCGCTGTTTTTAGTTTTTGGTAAAGATACAGAATGCTACTGCCTTTGTACAATGTGAAAATCTGGAAATGGGATGACGAACTGGGCTCACCCAGTTTCTCAAATCTCGGATCTACCTCCCTTCAACCAGTCATCCTCTAAGGCTTGGGCTCTTGCGATGCCTTCATCTCACACTCTTGGAGTGACGACCCAGGTCGGGGACACAATTGACAGGGTGTTTAGGACATTTGAGGAGTTCATGGGATGTTGGGTAGTGGAAAGGTGGAATGAACTCTCCAACCACTGGTCCTGCGGCAGCAGGACCACCCTTTTTCGCTTGGACACCACGGCAGGCGCCAAATGGGCTGCGCTCATCTCGTGGCGAGACCGCTTTGTGAGCAGCCGTGGCCGATCGCCCTATGCTGCTGGGCCGCACCACCCGAAGCCAAGGGTGGTCGAGCTTTCCCACTGGCCGACCAGCACAAGCCTTCCCACTGAGTTGGCTGAGATACCCTCCCTCAGTGACCAGGACCCCAAATAGACTTATAGATGGTTTCGGGCCTTCGGGGTAGTTTATGTTCAACGACAGGCTGGCTCGTTTGTTTCGGTTTCTTGGCTCGTTTGTTGGCTCACCGGCTCACACCAACGGCGGCCATTCTGACCGGGCCGAAGCTTGACCGGAAGAGTCGGGAAGCTCCAACTGCTCGAATCAGCTACTGAGGTTTGGTTTGATAAAGCCTGCCGCTTGGCAAGTTCTTAGGTGCGTCACGTGTCCAATTGCCAACCTACTAGAGGTTTATGATGGTTTACGCAGTTCTGTGTGGGTCTCATTAATTCATGCAGTGTGTGCTGTATAGTGACTAACAGTGTGACTAACTTAAGAACTATGGCAGAAAACTGTAATAAAGGAAAACTCGCCCAGTGCGCTTGGTCTTTGGGTCAACCTTGTGTGTTGTGAGAGTAGCAGCAATTACCTGTTACCAGACGGGAGTTTCTGACACTTCCCTCCAAATAATGAATGTGCTTTGCAAAGGTTTCAGAGCAGCACAATCCTCAGAAGGTGGTTTAGAAGGACCCCCAAAAGGCATCTTTGGGTTTGTGCCATCTACTCTGAAACCACTGCCAACTATCACATCCTTCACCCAGGCTGCCCCACCGATCCGGGTCCCCGCTGCACCTATCCTGGTTGCATCGCCTGCCAGGCATCGATCAGAGCGACATCGAAGCAAATCTGCGGATCTTGCCCGTCTTCCTGTGACATGGCCAAAAAGGCATGGCCAATAAAGCAAAAACATGTTGGCCACGCATATCTTTACTTACTTTCTGAAGATCGAGAAAAATCATCACGGTCCGTCCATGTTCGTTTGGCAACGGCGATGTTGCGCGCTCGGTGACTGACACCCAACATGTTCGCAGTATGCACTGGAGGAAACATCATTGCTCCAAGATCGGAAGAGGAATGTTTGCTCGTGATGGTTGTGTTAGATTGAGGGAAGGAAGGGTCAGGGTGGAGGTCTTTTTTTGGCGGCTTTTGAGATGCTTGTTGCTCTATGTGTTCTCTCGATTTTCTCTTCAGAGGTCCAGCTTTGATACGACATGGTAACATTGGACAAGTGTCACACACTAAGGAGTGGGTGCAGCTCCTTGCTGGTCCTTTGCGGCTCTTCATTCCTAAGTCGAACCTGGGCATCTATATGTATATATAGTTGGTTGCAAAGTTCATGAAAGCCAGACAGGCGGAGAGTGCAACAGTTCAAGGATGTCGCATTTGGTAGTGAAAGTTGCTCTAAAGTGGGTTAAAGGTGATACGAATCGTTGCTCGAAACACATTTGGGACGGACTAAATTCTTTGCCAACCTAAATCATGCCCGGCGTGGGCGTAAACTCCTGGTTTCAAAGGCATTTGTCACACATGAAAGTTTTGTTTTGTTTGTCCTCCTGTTGCAAGCGCCCAGGACTCTGGTGCGTTCTGGAGCTTTTTACCTTCGTGCACATGGGAGGGAAGACTTACGACATTGATTGTATCTCCCTGCTCTTGCGCCTTGAGCAAAGAGAAAGCACAAATATCACCGTGTTTCACAGGTTTCTTTTGTGAAGATCGGCCTTCTGATCCCGGAGGTTTTTGATTCCTGATTCAGATTGATTTTTGACAAGGCCCGGTCAAGAAGAATCAGACTGGAATGCCATCCACGTTTTTTGCTCTTTAGCTGCATTGCGAGGAATAGGACCAGCTGTGCAGCGACTGGTGGTGCATGAATCCGACCGCGCACCGCTCAAGCTGTCCGTCCACATATAGCGTGTCCAATTTGTAGGAATTCGTTGGTAGCTTCGTCGTTTAATGCAACGAGGAGAAAAATGGCACTGGCATAATAAACATGCACAAAACGACAGGATGTTTGTTTGCCACGCTAGGCTTCGCAGGGCACGCCTGCTAGGCTACGCATGCTACGCTGCATGTTTCGCAGGTTTGCAACGCTTCGGGAGGTCATCTCCTGAGCTCCTGAGGTTCGCAGTTTGATGTGCGAAATTGTGACTGCTCTGTGCAAGCTGACAAGGACAGGGCTCGATGTTGTGTACAGGTCATGCGGGTCGATATCCCCAAGAACTAAAGGTAACTATCAAGCCAAGAGTTAGCGCAAGAGTTAGATGTGGTGTTGGAGCATTCGCACTTGCAGGCGAAAAGGGTTGGGACTCATTAGGGGAGCGAGCTATAGTGAAGCACTTGGGTGGAGCTTCCACTGCCCAGACCTTTTGTGTCACGGGGGATTTCATCCTTCATTCTGCATGGTCCGGGGGGTGGAAGTTGATTTGCCTTTTGGTGGCTTTGGTACCTGCTGCAAGGATGCCAAGCACGACAAGACATGTTTTGGGGGCTTTCACTCGTCCAAGTGATTTCCCTTCGGCGCGCCGGATGTTCGAGCTCGAAATCCGCACATGTTCGAGTCATATTATCACACATGACATGTGGGTGTTGTCCCATTAAACTGCCTCAAGAACCTATCCTTAGACAAAATCTCTCTGAGTCAGCTCTCAGCATTTGCTGTGGCTTCTGCACGCGCGCACGCTTGAACTACGCGGTCAAGGCCCTCATTCTGTAGCAGGGCCTCAAGTGATTGCTTCGAGGGTTTCTTAAGAGACTTACAGTACAATTTGTGGTCAAGCATTATCATTATAGTTTACTTTGACGAAGATTGTATGTTAGTAGGTAAGTTTAGACAGTTTCTGGTTCAAGGCCGGGGTTGACCCGCGGGTGTGTCATAAACCCGCAATCGGAGGAGAAGATCCTGTCAATCATCCAGACTGGCTTCGGACATCTTGGCCTTGCTTGTAGGCTGTTTTGCTTCCAGAGTTCAACTTGTGTTTACAGTACCAGTTGAAGACCAATGAATATCTAGTTGCAAACTGTTTTAAGTGGTTCGGTGCTGTCATGCGTGATGTTTTTCCCCCTACGTCAGCCCTCCATCGATTCCAATTGAATCGTTCGTGCAGACCGCAAGGTTTCATGACCCGGTCTGCACGTCATAAATCGGAGAGTCACCAAATGCCCATATGGCTGCCATACCTCCTGGGTGATGCTCCACCTCCACCCTGAGCATTTCGCAATCACTGTGGCCCGGTGGGCCAAGGAGACATGGACCACTTCAACCACGCGGTACGCCGCGTGATGCGGCGGATTGATGGGCTCTCAAGCCACCAGCCGCCTGGCACTGAGCCAGGTGGGTGGGGCCAGGTGGGCCCTGAGAATGTCACCCTGAACGACTGTTCTCCTCTACAAACCAGTGGTCTTCAGGGTCCATGTTAGTCTTCAGTGGTGAATGTTTGTCGCATGGGTGTTTTTGGTCACAGGGACTAAAGCCCACAGGACTACAACGTGTCAAGCTGGGTGGCGGTTCATGTGGTTTCAGATATGTTTATCCTTGACCTCTGGATGATGTGCCAACATGTAAAACATGCACTGTACCGGACAAATGATTGTACAGCAATGCTGGTCCTGCTTTACAGGAATGGTGTTGTCAGTGCTGCACTCCTGTCCTTGATTGTGTGTGCTGGCCACCAGCAAGTTACCGGCCCCACATGCATGTTTGTTTGTCAGTTGGCTATATAGTTTATTCTGCCTTGGAGAGAGACTATTAGGGGGTTGAGGTTGATACATTGCAGCAAAGTTGTGTTCGCTTGGTCGGAACCTCGCCGAGGTTCCTGTTCACCTCTTCAGATTCTTCGAGTAGTTCGTCCTCAGAATTGAGTTGCTTGTGCTGAAATAGGTGTGTTCTTCGTGTGGCGGTGCCGCGTGCGTTTCTGCCAGAGGCGGACCTGGACCCCTGCGTGTGTTTCCCTGCGTTTCGCGTGTGGAAAGAATCATTTGTTTTGCGGGAGGTCCTGGACCATCGAAAAGTTTATGCCGTTATGCCGGTGAATCGAAAGGTAACGTAGATTTAAAAGAGCGCTGGTGCTGTTTCCCACCTTGGGCATGCTGTTACCCAATCAACGGGTCAAACCCTGAGATCTTGAGCCTTGAGATAAGCTGAACAGCACCAACTCCCGCTGCGCAGCCGCAGAACCCAAGCGTTGCGTCGGAACTTCTGGATGAACTCACCAAGGCGACAGCGACAGTGAGACCGAGCTAAGTCCATACATGGAAGACTGATTTCGCGACTACAAGCTGCCTACAGGAGAAAAGAAGTGTTGAGATTGTGATGGACAGTTGTGTTAGAATCTCATAGGATCGCCCTTGGTCTAAGTTCCCATCTCCACAGGATTGTGGACCGTGTGCAAGGAAAGCGGATGCACGTTGATAATGGCAGCCTCGAGCGGCTCAAGAACTTGTTTTCACTGCAAGATGGTTGGCGGCCTAAGTCAGGGGACTTCCACGTATTTGTAGAAAGACATTTGCGATGAATCTGCAGGCGCTTTCGGTGCTCTCGGCTGAGACGGGACTTGAATTCGCCATGCCAAGCCAAGCAGCTGCTCGGGTGAAGGAGTTGGCTGCGAAGGCAAAGCTTGAGGCACAGAAAGTGAGGGCACTGAGAGCCATCAACCATCTCAGTGACTCTAAGAGTAGTTGGAGTCGGAAAACTTTAGTTTGATTCTAGTGCATGTTGCTGGCAAAGTAGGGCCTACAGCTGCGAAGTGACCAGGATGATGACATGATTGCCATGAACAAGGCCTTGTTGGATGTCATCATGACAGGAGATCCATGTCGTAGATCACGCCAGAAAAAGCGGAACATGTCAATCAGAACATGCACCCTGAACAATTGTACATCCAAGTTTGTATGATATTTACATATATTTACACACATATATATATATATAGAGCCACATTGTTTGACCACCTTGCACAGTATGCATGTTCCGGCAGGAGACTTCGACACATACAAGCTGTTGTGTGATGAGAATTTGACCTGCTTCGAACCAGAAGCCAAAGGACATTTGGTGAATCTCGACGGCACGGAGGTGTGTGGTTGCGGCGGTTGGAAGCCAACGGTATGCCGTTGAGGCAGTAAGACTCAGCAAGATTTCGGTGATGTGTGGCAAAAGCGGCTGCCGGTCGCACCAGACAGAATCCGTTCCGTCGGTCGACCGCTTGCGGACACAGCACCCATGCGGACGCGCGAGCTCGCTTAGACGGTCCTGGCCAGAGGTTCGTAGTGGAATCGCGGGTGCGGATGACGTCCGTGTCGCTTCAAAGCTCATAAGGTACAAGCAAAGAATCAGAGTTTTTTTGTTGCGGGCAACGCGTTTATTGCTTGGTGGGCCGGATGGCCCAGGCATCTCTCAAGTCTTTCTAAAAAAACAAGCCTGCCCTGTGTTCCCTGGATTTGAGGACAGGCTTGGACTTTCACAAGTATTACTTTGATCTTATGAAGGCGGCCGTGAGTGAACAGTCGAGAGTCGCTTTACTGTTGGTCTGGTGTGATGTGATGTGAATATCCATGACATCAAACATTGTCAAATGAAAAGGGCGAAACACCAACGACCTGAAAAAACATAAAAGCAATTAAAAACATATATAAACACAATAAAAACACCATAAGGAAACAAACAAACAAAGCCCGTGGCCATCGCCATTTGATGCGATTGAACTGCCATTCGTCAGGGTGATGGACCCAGTGCCAAGCAGGACCGGGAAGGAAGAAGTGTGGCTGGGTGTCCAAGCACCATTCGTATGTGGAGGTCCTACCGCCAGACAGACTCATAGGATAATAGGTTAGAAAAGCACATATATATATATATATACCTGGGTCCCCAAATGTACTCTTTTTTTGGTCCATACGCATACGAACGAAAAAAGTGGCCATACGGCCAAAGGACTTCATACGGCCAAAGGGTGGCTGTTGCCCTCTTCTGTAGGTTGTTTGGTATTGCACCCCTCTCGTGGTACAAGGTGTGTTGAATCAACTGCCTGAGGAAACAGCACAAGCCAACCTGAGCACTCACAAGGTCTGATCCCACACTCTGTGTGCTCGGACCAAATATCTATCTAAAGTTCTCAGAGCAGCAGCTGCAGGGCTTGTTCGAATACCAATTCGGGCCACTTGCCCGATGAAATCCTGAGGCCATCACCACAGAGGGGAAAACCCAAACAGGCTGCGAAAAAGGTTGCTGAAGAAACACAAAATCAATACTAAAAACTTTAGGAAAAAACTTTGGAGGAAACAAGGCATGTGTCTTCGTCCAACTGGTTGGACTCTGCGAGTGGGTTTAAGCAATGCACCCCTCTGGCTGCAGTAGCTGTGAGGGTTCTCCATATGTGGTCTAGGTAGTGCATCTTTTGTGAAGCGGGTACCGTTGCTTTCTTTGCTTAAACGCCCACACTGCCAAAGACTGATAATCCAAAAGGAACCTTCGCCCTAGCTCCCCTGCTGTTTGTGCTTGCTCTGGGGTCAACCAAAGTCCTGCCCGGTAGAGGATTGACAAAGAATTGTTGATGGTTTGGGAGGCACCAAGGATTCGTTGCAAAGATTCATCACCAAGTTCATTTATTTGTTCCTGATGTCTTTCAAGAAGATCCTGAACGAACTGGAGAAGGATACGCGTATCATCAAATTTTGACCAGCTTGCATCTGGACATACCTGGTATGAGGTTAGCCCAACTCTCTCTGCAGTAAACGGTCCAAAATGAGGACGTTGGTTTTTCTTTGCAATCCACTTGTTCAGCAGGACGTTGACACTCCGGCACTTGTCTGGAATGGAGCCTGGTGCGAGGAGCCCCTGCATAATTTCCACCACACTCGAAGCTACAAAATCCATTCCGACTCCCCCGTGTAGACAGTGCCACAAGTCAAACTTCAAAAATGCCTCTGGCATGTTTGGGATGTGATTCAACCGGAGAAATGGAGGTGGTGTTGCCCAGGGTGGAGAAGTTGGCTCTGTCACCCATTTGGCTTGATCTGAAAAGTCTTCATATGGAATGCCTGCCTTGCCTGCGTGGCAAAGCATGCACATACCTGCAGGTTCCTTGGCACCTTCTGATCGAGCAGCTCTCAGGTAATGCCGTGTGAGGGAAGCTGATTTGGTCAACAGGGGTAAATCCCCCTTCAGTCCGAGGAGTTGGATATACCAGGTTTGATGCTGAAACTGAAAGCCCCTGTGCTGCAATTTTTCAAAATCAGTGATAACTTCCTCGAAGAGCTGCAAAAAAACCTCTGGCCGCTGACTGTAGTACCTTCTCGGTAGGGCCAAAAGCAAGAACCTTGACAAAAAACTATGACCTCCTAAATTCACCGCCATTCTGCGCTTCCTGCCCCAAACACTGACCACAGCATTCCTGTACGGACGAGCCGCCCTTCCTAATATTGACTGCATCGACAATATCATTATACCGCTTCGTTTGAAGTGCTTTCCCTCATCGCCGTGCACATACATTGGAAATGTACGACTCAATGGCATCGAACTTTCAAAAATGGAATGCTGCGGGAATTGCTTTGCATAATCTCGCCAGAATTGGAGCAGTGATGTCTCCAGCGTGTCAACTGGAAGACCACCTGCCAACATGGTAAGCAACTCGCGGGATTTCATGCATTCTACAAAGGCGGATGGCTTCAACCAAGGAATGCACATAGTCTCTGATATGTAAGACCAGCTGACGTCAACCTTCAGCGCTAGTCCATGGTCCCGAAGCCTGGAAGACACTCCGAATCATTCAAATGAATATATCCGTCAACCTCATGCATACTATACCACGCAAACACCAAAACATGAAATATTCGCAACCTTAATACACAGAAAGGAACACTGTTTGCAAGACCTCCTCTGCCCTCTTCTCACTGGTTGCAGCCAGTCGTGAAATAACTGGGCAGCTGGTGGGCCCAAAATGGGCAACTGCTGCCCGCGCCATTTGCACCACAGACGATGCTGAATCCTCAAAGGATCATCGCATCGAAGTGGATTCAAAACATGTTCTTGAACAAGGCCCCAACTCCTTCTGCAACCCGCTGCGCTGCATGTTTTGCGAGTGGCCCCACGGCACCTGGCATCGCATACGCGGACAAGCATTTGAGGAGATTGCGAGGACAACTTAGAAATCCTGAGCGGCGCGGCGCAGGACAATTTTTGAACCGCAAGATCACACCGTCTGTCAGACCCCAATAGGCATAGCTGCTGGCTGGCTAGACTATGCAAACCCAAGAGAACGAGAACAAAATGTTCAGAAACGCTCACAACCTATCAAACTCTTACTTGCCCTTCCCAGCTTTTGACTTGGGTTTGGGCTTATCCGCTTCAGCCTTGCGAGGCCTCTTCAAAGACTTCCTCTCGCCTCCACCCTTGGGAACCTCCTCAACCTCCTTGCTCTCTGCCTCAGAACCCTTACGTTCACGACCCTTCCTTGTTGAAGGCTTATTCGCCTCAGACTTCCCCTCAGACTTGCGCTTCTGTGCTCTGAGCTCTCGCAAGATAGGCCTCAGTAGGCTATCAACAATTTTCTTTAATCTGCAGGATGAGTTATAAGTCTCCAGCAGTGCTGAAGCTTCAGCTCGGGTTGAGCGGCACCCCCTCAGACAAACAAGGTTACTGAATGTAAACTTCACAATTACAGCCCACAGCTTTTACCCAACTGCACACAAGAAGCAATAGCTCAGCCATCTCAAGCCGCTCATCGACGCGTCTCTCCAACCTGAGCAAGCGGCAAGGCTTTGAACTCTGCTATTCTACAAAAAGTACCCTTTGCTTTGTGTATTTGTGCATAGGAGACACTCTTGACTCAGCTTTGATTTCTTGTTTGTCTTGGCTGCAAGAACGGCCATGGAATCATAGCAGTTGTCTAGGTCCTCCTTCAACTTGTTCAGGGTGGTCTTCAATCTCAGGGGTGACTTGTTCAGATAAGACTGTGTGCAAAAGCTGTCATTTCACTTACAAAAACTGCCAACAAAGGCCTTTCAGCATTGGGACCTGTTGATTCTGATATCTTGGTAGAAATATCCTCCATCTTGGCAGCTTTCGCGATCAACCCTTCCATCGAAGCAGTGATGAGCTGGTGCGGATCCTCATATTACAAAATATTAGACCCAATATGACCCAATGTAAAGAGAAACACGTGTCCAAAGATGTGGTCCTCCTTCTCGACCTCTGCCACCGAGTCTTTCTCGTTGGATCGTTCAGGGCTCTCTCCATGTTCCTTGTCTGACTCACCTGCTTCAGGTCCATT